TTGTTAATGATTGTTTTTTTTTTGGAAGCTCCCCATACATGGTTGAATTCTACGTTGGCTTGATTTGATTTGATTATATAATTAATTTTAGATTTTAGAGTGAGTTTTGAGTTTTTACTCATAATACTACGGAAGATGGAAAGTCTTTTACTTAGAAATTGTTTGGTCGTAAATATATGTTTGGCCCAGTTAAGTTTCTTATTAAAATATAGTTATAAATATTTAACTGTATTCAAGTTAGGTATTATTCCTTTATTTAGTAAGACTGGTGGAGGTTGTTGTAATTTAAGAGTAAAGGTAGTAATAATTTCTTTTGCGATTTTGATCAACGGAATATTGTTAGATTTTATGAAATATTTAAATTGTGACAATGAATTCATTTCAAACTTTTGTAAGTACCTAGGTAGTTAATTATAGTACTGCTATATCAAAATCGTACGTCTTTATAGGATTGTCTTATTATATATGACATTTTTGAATTTTGTCTAGAACATGGTAAGATTTGGTTTGTTATTGGAAGGGGTACCATGGCTATGTGATCTGAGAAAGTTTGTTTTATCTGTGTTGCCATTATTTTAAATAATTTTTAATTTTTATTGAGGAAAGTAACTGACATTTTTTGTTATTTTTTGTAACAGTTTTCTAGCTGGAATAGAGTAGAGGTTTGATGTTTGTACTCATTGTTCAATGTTCGGTGTATAAGTATTGATTTGTGTAGTTTATACTGCTGGGAAGATTAAAAAAATATATAATAATCATTTTATTTGAATAAGGTTGATGTTGATTAGTTATTAATGAAAGATAGATATCTGTGGTACTCTACATTCATTCATATGAAGTGCACATGTAAACTGAAAAATATATTTAATATATTGAACTTAATTTTTAAAACATTTTAAATTTTATGATTTAGAAATTACTGAAATGTATTTTTTAACTCATTATTAAATGTTTGAAAATCAAGTAACATGGCTTATTCTTCTTTAAACTGATCAAGAAATCTTCTAACTGAAATATTGAAAAATTCCAAATAAAATTTTAACTTTGGACTATATAAATAAATTACTTCATCGTTATATTTTTCATCTATAATTAAGTCATTTTCCATTTGAAGTGATGCAATTATAACGTATTGATATTTAACTAAATTTAGTTAGAGGTTGATCTACCCAGTGGCATATTTAGGATTTTTTCACGGAGAAAGTACATCTAATTTTCCGAACACTTTTAAGTGGAGGCCACTACTCTCGTATCCTCCAGCATTACAATTAAACAGAAATTCAATTTATTATAATGCATTAACATAAAACCATTTTGATGTTACTAGTTGTTTATTTTTGATCATATGAAACAACATTTATAGTACAGAATCCAATTCCCTAGGACTTGATGCTCATTCATTGATGATTTCATTAATATCTAGATGTATTTCCTAATGAATATACATCATAGTTAGTCTATTTAGCCTTTTATACATAAATATAAAATTAAAAATGTAGTTATAAGTTATATTGATATATTTCGGCCTAAGAAGATAATTGTATTTGATATATATTATATCTTGCAAGAATATAACATTATTTTCTAATTCACAAATTAGTTCAATTAGAAATAATTCTGCTGTGAAAATGGAACATGAGTTAGGAAGCTTATACTTATGGATGGTGTTCAAAATGATTTTATTACTCAACGAATCAATGAAATAACAATTTATATATTATTATTCTTGGGCTGTGTCATTATGTACTTCCATAATAACATTAATAACATCTAGTACCAACTACAAGGATTGTTATACTAAAAAAATCCGATAAAAATAAAAAAATAAAAAATATACAAAAGTTAATAATTTTGATTTGCATATTACTGCAGGTATATGATTAGATTAAAACCATATATGCACTACAGATGGAAGCACGAAAAATGGCATTCATTACACGTAGAGTATAAGTTTAAGTGTATAGGATAGGACAGTTTTACATAAATAAATACAAGGACAAATAGAACATGCGAGTTTTAGTTGTTATGAATACAAAAATTAGGGACCGTATTCTACGAATTATTATAGTTATATACTGTTGTGCTTAAGCATTCAGGGTTCAGCACAAAAACAATAAACCGAATTATGAAAAAATAAAACACACACATACACAGAAGGTAAAGGGCTTACCGGGTTTCCCAGCGGACCTATCGGGCTCAGAATAAATATAATGTTGGACCATCCCGCGAAAGCCGTGTAACTTTATGCATATTTGCCGGTGTCAAAACCACGCAGATCCAGTACTAGTCGCTTCCGAAGAATTGTCACATGTATTATTTTTCATAATAACTATTAATTATCGATGTTGTACAACAATGCCTCTTGTATATTTAAGAGCTTATTGGACTACTTTTTTTTTTTGAAATATTTCGACTTGGGCCGATCAGTTCCATTGCACTCGAGTTTGCGAAACAATTTTCAAGTTCAAATAGAATCACATCACGTCGGTTTTCGCAGACCAGCAGTATGTGGCTCGGACGTAACGTAACTATTAAGGAAATGCCACTAGTCGCACTGATCTACGGTGTTGACGTAAATCTTTTAACATCGATAGACTAGAAAACTAAACTGGATATCTTCGCATACGATTCGGATACAACAATATATGTAAATATATAAATATTTATAAGTTTTAAGCTCGGATTCACACTATACACATAGTACTCGGGTAACATAATTTTTTCTGACTGGCTGTAATTACATTAATGTTTTATATATATATACACACACACACACCATATGGTACGTATGGCATTTATCATTCATTTTCACAAAAGTTGATTTCTTACTTACTGATGTTTAAAAAAAAAATTCAAGGAAAAAATTAAATAATTTATAACCAAAATTTGATATCTACGAAAGAATAAATTCGTGGAATGCATTCATATTACACATTATAACAATGACATAGTTTGGTATAGTGTGAACCGTAAGATAAACGTTAATTTTGGTTGTCAAGGTATTTCGAGATTTTTCAATAAAAAATAATTACGTCTAAATACTTTGTTCAACATCTCTCCCATCTTGAATTTCGAGAATTGATCATGTTTGAGATGCATTAATGAAATTAGGGTGTCACTTTTTTTAAGGGATTACCAATAAAATTATGATAATTATAGTTATAAATTTTATTATTCTTAGTAAATTTGACCACAATTTTTTCTACGAGAATAGATCATAACGATGTGAGCTTACACAAACACAACTAAAAATATTTCATATTTGGTCAAAAAATTAATTTATCTTACTAATCTAAGAAATACATAATTAAATGTATAAATAATATGATAAAAATTATTAAATATTTCTAACAATACCAATTTGAATAAAAAATAAGATGTAAAAATAAATGTTATTATTTGGAGTATTATCGTGTAATTTTTACAAATATTTTCGATCGGTTTCGATTTAAAAACTTATTAGCTGGTATAAAATCAAAGTATATAATAATATAATATATATTTATATTTCAAAATTAATATATTACTTAGTATAGTGTATATAATATGACTTATGCTTACTTCTAAATTTTTATATTTAATAAGTTTTAGTATATTATTTATTTATTAAGTAATACTTCGCTATAATTTTAAGAGTTTTAACAAAAATATTTTATTTTTATTTTATTTAATTTATTGATTATATATAATTAAATATTACTGTTTTGTAATTAACATTTTGTAATTAGTTATATAGTTATTATTATTTTTGTTAAGCAATTTAAGAAATATGTAATATGTTGACTATAAATTTTTATGCAATCTTTATTTTTATTTATTGAATAACAGTAGCTTAAAAATAGCTTTCCAATATTTTTTTGTAAACATTTTTTAGTTTATTTATTTCTGCTCACAAAAATAACAAATGTTCAATATATATCTATCGTCCATATTTCATTTGTTTTCTATCGTCAAAATCGTTTATTTAACCCTCTAAATCATTTTTCGCCGTTTTCTTTCATCCATTTATATGCAATCGTTTTTATTCGTGTTTTGTACGACATGCATAAATCATAAGCCCGTGAGTGTATAAGCCATTCATTTTTCTTGGTATAATTTAAATATTCTCTACAAACCGTATTTCGATAGTTCGTTTAAATTGTCAAGGTCATGTAGCTTTCGAAGCGAGTTTACCGTGGAAATTTTTTTAAATATCTAGGGAATCCGGTTGATTCGGTCTTAACTCTAGATTTTTGGTTCTCAATGTTTTTGAGGCTACAAATTCCAATAATGTTACAAAGATTTTGAGTGACCCTTTTATTATGATAACAATAAAAGTAATGATAAATGAATATGATCAATATGATTAATAGAACTTTTTTATTGGCTGTCCTAAACTTTTATCGACTGTCATTCTCAACAATGGTTATCATCATGATATTTTCAAAACCACCTTACTAGTTATTGTATGTACTGGCGACCCCCCAAGGTGGTCCCCACCACCAGTTTGAGTTCTATAAAGAAATATGATCGCAGAGGACACGAGTATTTTTTTTTTTTTGAAAAATACTGTAGTTAATTCTCGCTTTGTGCCGTCACAAGATATGGTACAAAAATGATATTGAATTTCGATCCCATACTGTATTTTTCATTTTCGTAACTGCTCTGTGTAATATTACGCGGTTGTATGTGATCCGTCTGGGATGTCGAGTCCAAGGAATATGAGCATCGTTCGATTTGCGAATGTTCTTTGTCAAAGACAAACGCCTCCGCGGCGGTGACGGTTCACGCATCGTACGACGGAAGCGACTGCAGTGAACATCGAACGAAGACAACGGGACCGCCAGAGACGTTGGAAACGGACCGCGTGCGCGAATCTTAATGACGGGGGACTAATGAAGGTCGCGAACGCAGGTGGCCGACCACTGCCGCCGTACGCTACCGACGAGACCGCTGCTACCCGCACCGCGGTAACCCGGTGGTCGACGCGCGCGCGGTCGTATTCCGTTCGCGTCCCGAACTAGTGCGGGTTTTCCCCGACCGTATGTGAAGAGGGTTGGCGGCGCAGCTTTAATTTTCCCTTTTTTTTTTCCGGGCGGTTCAGTCGTGTCGTCGCTTCCGTGTAACGCACACGCGTCTCTTCCGTCTCGTCCGCACCCGGTCGTCGCCGTCGCCGTTCGACAATCATCGTAAGCGCGTGTCACGTTTTCGCACCGACGTCCATCGCCATTTTCACCGCACAGTCACCGGTGCGTTTTTTTTTCAATTTTTTTTTCTCATATCCGTTCTCATTCGTCTCTTCTTCATTCTGTGTTGTGTATGCACACATCGTGTCAAGCATTCGACTCCATACGTCTTACGTCACTCGCCAGTACCCATTTCGCACAAGTAAATATTGTACAGTACTATTTATCGATACACCATTAATTTATGCATTCTCGAGTGTTATTGCTAAGGTTCTAAAATTCATTCTTCAATCAAATTTACATTTTTTTAACTCAATGTTTCAATTATAGATATAACAATGCAATTTTTAAAACATTTTAAATTGTATCTTTAGTTGAAATATAAACTTAAAAATATGAAAGTTACGCAATCTAAAAATAAGTTAACTAAAATATTGAATATTGATTATTAAATTATAGGACTTAGTTACGTAATAATAAAGCTTGTTAAATTTAGGAAAGTCTTAATTTTTAAATAATAATTTATAACATGGAATATATTGTAAATATATCTCTAAAAATATCTCTCTATCTATATCTAAATAAGAAAATTAATTTTTGCTTTGAACATTTCGTTTGGTATAGACTAAAAATTTTCACGGATATATTTAGGTACTAGAAACAAATAATAAATATTAAATATATTAAAAAAATGAAGACAATAACTAAAAAGAATTAGAATCATTTTTTATTTAATTCTTTCAAAACAAGATCAAAATTTATTTGAATTTTATATGAATTAACTTTGGTATAGGTTATTATTATTATTGTGATAATTTCAATTAATTTTATTTAGGTTTATTTTTAACTTTATCTGAATAGATTTTTTGTGTATTATATTTATTTTTATCTAAATAAATATAATATATATATATGTGTCGTAGGCCAAATGGAAAATTAGTTTTTTTTTAAAAGACTAGGCTCTTTGCAATGGAGTAGCCCGTTTGCGAACTACTTATTTTTCCAAACAGCCTGCTGTTTTTCAGGCTCATTTCATACAGACTAACAGCTGTTAGGCCTTTTAAGAATTACTTATTATTTTTTCAAATAGCCTGCTGTTTTTTAGGCTCATTGCATACATACTAATTTCAGTTAGGCCTTTTAAGAACTACAATCATTTTATAGTAAAAACCATTTTAATTATTTTATTTTAAGGGTTATTGATAATAACACAGTATAAATATGTAACATATATGTATAACATGTAACATTATTATTTATTAATAATATAAAGGTATTTATTTATTGTTACATGTGGTTTTTTCGTGGCATCTTGAGCTACACAGTATATTGTTTTATAGTTGTTTTATATATTGTTTACAGTATTGTTTTTCCGACAAGCGCATCTATTTGTTTTGGACGATGTTTTGCAAAAACATTTTTGATAATTCGCCCTCCAATTGAGAATGTTTCTTCGCTATTTCTCTTAATGTCATCATTGTATTTGGTACTTCGTCAAGAAATTCTGCATCGGTTGTCTATAATACATTTCTGCTTAGCCACGTATTTATAATTCCAAATCATGTACCAATTTGATAAACGTTATTTTTTTTGTCGACAACTTTGCCAATTATTTTTTGTGTGTCTAATGGTCCACGATTTACCTTTGGAATATTAACTAAAACATAACTCCCAACTTAAATTATAACTAATTTCTTATCACTAGCTTGTATCATTTTTTCTGCAGCTTTTTTGTGTCCTTCAAAAGCTTCTACTCTTTCTTTCTGAATTTGTTTTTCTTTTACACATGTGTCGCACAATGATTCTTTGTTTATGATAGACACTTTAGAAATGCACTTTTTACAATCATATATATTATTATCCTTGTAACAAAACATGAAGTCTTAATGCTTTATTAATTTTGTTAATTTTATTTCCAAATATATTAATTATTTTACAATTAAATAAAATATCCAAACTACAATACAATATGGATATAATAAATATTCCCTTCTCCTGAGGAGGTTATATAAAGATCACAAACTTAATACATAAATTGTATGATTCACAATACTGTGATATCAGTATACGTACGGCGAGATTTACACTAATATATTAACGTACTACTCATAGTATGCTACGATGAATACTCGTAGCCTATGGTAGCGTTGAACTACTCGCTCGTCCGCAATGATACACAGTGAAAACAAATGTTACCAACCATGATGATTCACACACGATGTGAACAGGGATTTTTTTAAATTACAAACATTGCACAACTTACAAAATATCAGAACAACAGGTTTTGGAATACAATATTTATCTTTTAGAGCATACATCATTTTATCAAGACCTCCGTGTCCAATATTTTTGTGAATCGTATTTAAGATTTCAAAAAAATTCTCGCGTGGTACTAATTGAACAATTGCATCATCATGTTTTTTCTTTTTTTTTACCAAATATTTTGAATCACCCACTTCCATAATATCATATTTTTTAATAGTTCTATATTGCTTACTATTTTTTTTTTTGGTTCCTGGTATTTTAGAAGCTGCTATTTCAGAAACAGCATCAAATATTGTAGCTATTGTCCATGGTTGTTTAACTGAATTCGTTTTATTTTTATAATAATTAGTAACTTCATTGTTAAATTTGTTCATTACTGTTATATTTTTTATATAACGCACTCGTAAGTATTAACGCATACGTTGAAATACGCAAGGTTTACTAACGTATAGGATCCACCTACCTACAGTATGCCGACAAAAATATGTACGGTGAAAAGTTATAATCTAATCTACTGATTAGTCATTATCTTGTAGATTCTATCAATTATTAAGTATACTTCGTCAATCCGTATCTAAATCCTTAAAATAGCCGGTTGTAATGTACTAATTTAATTTACTAATGTAGGTAAATAACATTTATCAAATTGGTACACGATTTGGAATTATAAATACGTGGCTAAGCAGAAATGTATTACAGACAACCGATGCAGAATTTCATGACAAAGTACCAAATACAATGATGACATTAAGAGAAATAGCGAAGAAACATTCTCAATTGGAGGGCGAGTTATCAAAAATGTTTTTGCAAGACATCGTGCAAAACAAATAGATGCGCTTGTCGGAAAAACAATGTACTGTGTAGCTCAAGATGCCACCAAAAAACCACATGTAACAATAAATAAATACCTTTATATTATTAATAAATAATAATGTTACATGTTATACATATATGTTACATATTTGTACTATGTTATTATCAATAACCCTTAAAATAAAATAATTAAAATGGTTTTTACCATAAAATGATTGTAGTTCTTAAAAGACCTAACTGAAATTAGTATGTATGCAATGAGCCTAAAAAAACAGCAGGCTGTTTGAAAAAATAGTAAGTAATTCTTAAAAGGCCTAACAGCTGTTAGTTTGTATGCAATGAACCTGAAAAACAGCAGGCTGTTTGGAAAAATAATAAGTAGTTCGCAAACGGGCTACCCCATTGTAAAGAGCCTAGTCTTTTTGCAAAAAAACTAATTTTCCATATGTCCTACGACATATATATATTACCGGCAGTATGGATAATTCAGGTATTTTGCAAAATGCCTAGGCATTATGCAAATTTCCGATTCATTTTAGGCAATGCAAATAAAACATATGATTTTCAATATTATTTTACATATCACCTAGGTATTTTATAAAATACCTAGGCATTATGCAAAATGCTAATTTTTTTTAAACAAAGTACATATTATTGTATGTTATATTACATTAAAATTCTTATAACTATTATACATTATTATTTATATTACAAACAAAATTTAATTTTTATTTACTATTATATTATTACTATTATATAAATATTTTACTTAAACTAATATTTACTTATTATAACATGTTGTAGAAAAGTGACATTTTGAAGTGCACAAAATATTATTTTTCAGGCAAATACACTTTTTATTTTGACACTTGGACTTACAAACACATTTTAAAAACCTTTGGCCAATTCTTGTGGATTAAATTTTTATCAATTCATTGTATTGTTCATCAGATAAAGAACTAGTATTGGTGACCAAATTTTTAAAATAAAACTGTAGTTTGTTATAAAAATTTGACTTCATATAAATCATATGCATAGTTGCAACACCAAAACGAGACACGAAAATAACGAGAAAAATGATGATATTGTAATAAAATTATTAGTATATTTAATATTGTACCTCAGAATTATTATTATAGTAGTAAAAGAATCTTAATTTTTATTGGGTTAAATCGTGCAAGCACATTTATGATAAACGATAAGTAAAGTCGTTGGTAATAGGCCATGTCTAATTTTGTTTATTTTCTTCGTATTGCCTACTCCACGATTAGCATTATACAAAATACCAAGGCAAAGCTCATATTATGTATATGATGGAGTGATTTCTGGCATTTTATATAATGCCTAGGCATTTTGAAAAATATTGGATTATCCATATTGTCGGTAACATTTGTAAGACAAAACAATTCATGCTTATTTCAGTTTTATACTAGTACAAGAGTATTAGTACAATATAAATAACGTTTAAATGTATTGAAATAAATTCAAATTTATTTCAAAATATTAGTAAAAAAAAGTTTTTTTAATAACATATTTCTTCGTAGTAAAAAACAAGAACAAAAAAAGTTGTAGGAAAAAATTATTAGGTCATTGTGTGTTAAACAAAAAAAATTTGCATCACGGATAATTCTATTAATTCCGATGAATCTTTATGTAACTTGGTATTTACGTAGACCAAAATTCAAAAACAGGATGCGGTGTTAAGTTGGCAATCTTCTTCATCATCGTTAAATAAAATGAAGAATTGCTCGTACTCATCAACATTCAAAGTCGTTGATACAATTTCGTGGTCCGTATAGTCCTCATAGTCTTCCTTGCAGTACTCAATGTCCCCGTTATCCACGTTTAATATTAAACATTTGACCAGGGGACATTGATCGGTACACGATGGCGAACGACTACGCTTACGAGTAGATAAAAAAGTGGAGTTTACGTCATCGTAAATCGTCAGCGAGTTTGTTGTATTCCGTTTCCGAGATGTTCGTCCGAATCCTCGACTCTCACAAGGCTCATCGGCGATCAAATACTTGACCGGATGGTGCGGAGAGCATGACTGCGATCGACAACGACTACGTTTTTTTGATGCACGACTGATAGGATTTGCGGAGCTTTTATAAATCGATG